GGGGCTGTGGAGGTGCGGGGCTGTGGGGATTGGTCTGTCGTCATTATTATGTCGTCATTATTATAGAAAGGAGTTCTAAATTTATATAGTATCATTGTTAAACCAAAATTCACAGAACCAATTGTACGCTCAACATAGTATATCCCGACACCTGTCATCACCAATTTCGTTAATATTTGCAAATTGTTTTATGGAAAATGATACATATACTCCTTCAAAGTTACATAATCCATTATATATTGATGATTTTTGCTAATGTGTCGTTAAAATTGATGGTTTTCGTTACTTAAACCGTTAAAATTGATGATTTTTATTATTTATGTTGTTAAGATTAACAGTTATCATTATTTTTGTCGTTAAAATTAATTGTTTTTGTTAATTTTAACGACACATTAACAGAAATTATCTATGTGTAAAGGAGTATGTAATTTTTAGAGAGTGTATGTACTAATATTTTTATTGAGATATTTATAAATATTGAGTAAAAGCTCCACTTTTAAGGGTGACAAATTACTCAATAAAATTATTTACAAACTGTTTCATTTTGCATATTTAGATCAATAGAAAGTAATCTTTTGAATCAAAAGAATAAAAAAGAAGTTTAGGTCCTCTCGCCTATAACAAAAAAGCCTTCGTCATCTGAAACTTTATATTTTATATTTCAGTGTAACATAAAGTGCAAAGCAAAATTTTCAAATAAAATAGTAGCATGAGAGAACAAATATAAATAGGCGAAGTGAAGTTTGTAATGTAATGGTCATAATGCAAAGGCGCTTAACTCTTAAGGTTGGTTTTGGGAAATAAATATTTGAATTTAAAGTGTGTATTCTAAACATATGTTTGGGGATATTAAAACAGAAACTATCTTTTCAGTTTGCATTGCAAGCAGTTCAAGACCGTGAGAATATTTAAAAATCCTTAGTGATTTTTATTTATTAGAGGAATTTTAATAGTTTTATAACTCATATTGTATCCTCTTTTTTTTTTTTCATAGTCTAAGTTGAAAAAACCAATCTTATACTAAAATATTATAAATTTAAAATTGAATTGTATATTAAATATTTCCCAATTCATTCCAAACATGATCACTAATTTGAAAGAAAAAGTGTTATTTTTAATTTTATTTGCTCTAACAATTCTTTACCTATAAAGTTTTTTCCCTACTTATTTTTAATAGAAAAAGTCTCTTTATAACTATTTTTATATTAAATTCACTTAATAACTTTTCATACTAATTTTTTTATATTAA